TGGGCTATTGTATTGTCTTAGCCCTAACTTTTGGCGTAACAGGTATTGAACCGCTTTACGCAGACAACGAACAAATCGCTGAATTATTGGCCCACAAATGCTGCGAACGGTTAACCATAGACCTAACTCATGACCTGATCTACAAGTGTTGGAATTTTCACGAGAAGGCAAAAGCAGTGGCAATGAAATTGGGGTTAAAGGAAAAGAGAGACCAAATGACTTCGTTTACCAAAAAGATAGAAACCGGAAAACTGGACAAAGTCTATAGTATCGCCAGTACTCTCTTCTACTCCTTTTAATACACTTATATTTTTAGATAATCATTGCTTTTATGAATAATAAATGACAATTAGAATAAATTTAATTAAAAGTATCTATTGTTATACAAACAATAAATATAAATAAATTTGTCAAATAAAATGTTTGTTATGAAATTCAGTATTGACTTCACTAAAAATTCTTAATTTGTAACAATTAGTTCATGTGATTCGTATTGTAAACAACTATTATTGTATATTTTATATAATTGACAGCAATATAAAACAGACATTAATTTTACTTTGGTTATATTTTAAAATAAAACATAATATTACAATTATTGATGAAATAAATTAAATTGGTAAAATATTTAATAATTTAGATTATGAATAAATTGTTAATAATGTGCATGCTGAATTTTAGGTTTCAATTGATAAAATAATAGTTATTTAGATGACGCGCTTTACAGACGCGCATGAATTTTACCATTTATTGTTTGGTATGTGAATTGAATTAACTTGCATTTCATAATAACATATTATGTTATTAGAAGTACCATGCACTAACTTATAAGCAGTATTATAATAACTGTAAGTTATACAGTATGTGCTGTCACAATCACAATCAGTTAATTACTTTAGATTAAAGTTGTGGTGCATTATTGGTACACCATTTGGATCATGCAATCATTAATCAACACATTATTACTGTATTGTATTAATTGGTAGAGAATTAGTATAAATATATAAGTTATTCGTTAAATACAAAACTCAATTGTATCCGAAAAATATCAAATAAGTAAAGTTTTAATAATTTAAAATCAAACACAATGTCTGTAAGAAAGATACCATCGTTTATAATACGTGAACTCCGATTGTCTGATTGCCATGAAGTGCGAGAGATATGGAAATCCTCGAAATCTAATGTCATTAAATGCGGTCCCGAAGCCATGTTTACAACTGATCCAAAGGGCGTATTTGTTGTCGAAAACACCGATTCTGGTAAATATATCATTAGATATAGTATTAGTTAACATGAGATTTGAATGAAGACTAATTAAAATTGAATTGAATGAATAGGTAAAGTGTTTGGATACGTGAGTGCTGTGAAGCTATCGCCTGAATTGGCGTTTATCGGCGGCTATGCTGTTAGAGAGGAATACCAGCGCTTAGGTATTGGTAAAACCCTATGGGATAAAGCCATGGCATATATGGGCGACACGAATGTTGGTCTCTTTGCGGCCAATTTGAAAATGTTTGCCATATATAGAGATCTTTACAATTTTCAACAAATACCCGACAGAATGGCTCAACACATGAGAGGACCACTCAATATTAGCCGAGATATTATCAATTCAATCGATGGCATCTCTTTAGAGGCCATCAATGAGAATAACATTAGAGACGTGATTGAATACGACAAACAAGTTTGCGATGGTTTAGACAGAAGTAATTATCTCTCAGCTCTCTATAAGATCCCCGAAAATATCCATTTAGTGGCCATTAATGATAGGAAAGAAGTGGTCGGTTATTGTTTCGTTATAGACACGTGTAATGGTATTACGGGTATTGCGCCCCTCTATGCAGACAACCAACAGATCGCTGAGTTGTTGGCCAACAAATGCTGTCAACGTTTACCACCAAATAAGACAACTGATATATTGTTGAAGTGTTGGGATTCAGATCAAAGGGCTATTCAAATGGCAAAGAAATTGGGTCTAAAGGAGGGTCACAAACAGATGACTGCTTTCACTAAAAGGGTTATCGACGGAAATTTGGATAAAATCTATTGTATCGCCAGTTCTGCATATTTTCCCTTTTAATAATTAATAATATTGAATAATTTTTAATTAGTTATTGTTAATTTTTTAAATTTACAAAGTTAATCTATTTTTGATTTTTACGAAAATACTTCTTTATAATTATTTTAATTTAAATATATAATAAAACTCTATATGTCTTGTATTTCATTTCTATTGCATTTCTATATTACTTATACCGTATATTCTATTGATAGTTATAATAACTTAATATTTTCATTATTTCCAATTAATAATTACTGTAAATTTTATTGAATTTAACGGATCCTCAATAGTACTAAAATATTACTGAATACTTTCATAATAACTTTATATTTTTTAATTATTGGGTTTACTAAATTAATATAGAGGGCATTAGTTAAACATGATTGATTAATTCTAATTATAAGTTTGTGTCACATGATGATACAGTTGTGGAATAATGTACCAATCTATCAATAAAGAGAATCTAGTTCAAATTGTGTGTTCAAATTATAAATAATGTTGTAATGATATATTGTTATTTGACTCAAATGTTACCATAATCCATATCCCGGTAAATATGCCATTTGATTAATGATTTAATAAATCTTAAATTCCAGTAACTACTTTATTTATTTGTTTTAATTATTTATTTTGTGCGCAAACTTAAGGTTTTTAATATTAGATAGTATTACATTTATTGAAATTGTTACTTGTTTTACATGGATAATTTATTTGTAAAATAAATATTGTTTCACATTGATCAATTAGAGTCCGGTGTCAATTTATGGCTAATATTGAATGTGTTGATAGTGCTAATTGAGTACTTTTGTTGCAAATTAATGTTGAAATTAACATTGATTGTAATGCAACATAAACTTAATATACTGTAAGCTTACACATGGATAATACCGGTACTGTACATTGATATTAGAGATACAGTATATGAAATAGAGATACAATTAATTATAAAATTTGTATTAAAGATAATAATAACAATTTCAATGTTCAAAATGATTGGAGATAATAAGCAGTCGTGTTATACGAGAAAATATCAACTTTAAAAAACCGTTTAAACAAATCAATTGCACTCCAAGTGTCACATCGACAACAAGTCATCAACAATTATAACAAGTTGTGGACAAAATCGATAGATATAATGGCCAACGAAAGAAGTGATGTCTCATATATTGTACGAAACATACAATTGTCTGACTGTAAGGAAGTGGTGGAGATCTGGGATGAGGTGGGCTTTCAGATTGCAAAGTATGGCAACGAAGTTATGATGAAAACTGATGCTAAAGGAATATTTGTCGCTCAGGACACTAAATCAGGCACTTTTAATTGACATCGTCTTAAATTATATATCTATATATTGAAACAGTAATGTATTTAAATGTTAATTTTAGGCCGAATATTGGGCGCCTGTAGTGGTGTTAACATTGGCCCCGACCTGTCATTTGTGGGTCAGTACGCGGTTCGGGCAGAGTATCAGGGATTAGGTATTGGTAAAGCTCTTTGGGTTAAAGCTCTGGAAAATATGGGCGATAGAAATGCCTCACTATTTGCAGCAAACGTGAAAATATTCACAATTTATAGAGATGTCCACCATTTCTCTGCGGTTCCCAAGAAACGGATCATTCATATGAAGGGAGAATTTGCGCCAAACAATGATATTATTGACAGAATCGATGGCATCTCTTTGATGGCCATCAATGAGGACAACATTAAAGATGTGATTGAATACGACAAACAAGTTTGCGATGGTTTGGACAGAAGTGCAATGCTTTCGGCACTTTATAAGAGTCCAGAAAATATCAATTTAGTGGCCGTTAATGAGCGAAACCAAGTGTTGGGCTATTGTTTCGTTTTGGACACGAGTAGTGGTGTGACGGGTATTACACCCCTCTATGCAGACACTCAACAGATCGCTGAGTTGTTGGCCAACAAATGCTGTCAACGCTTACCTACACATAAAACTAAGAAAATGTTATATTTATGTTGGGATTCAAATCCCAATTCAATAGCAGTGGCAGAGAAACTGGGATTAAGTAATTTTAGGGATCAACCGATTCTGTTCACCAAGAAAGTGGTCGATGGGAATCTCGATAAAATCTATTCAATAACCAGTTTATGTTTTTATCCTTTTTAACCAAGTAATTCATATTTTGAATTCATGTAAACTTTATGATAACACTTAAAATTTACAGTTTTGGATCATAGTTTTAATACTATGACATATTTTGCAATTAATAACGATTACACAATGTGTTAATGTATGGGTAATTTGTTTAAAAATTTCTCACATTTATATAAATACTACTCAATTTTATAT